CCCAGTAGGCATTTGTCTGGGCAGGAACCTGCAGATACCCATTATCAGATCTAATGACCATCTGTCTACATTGGACCTTGTCTGGACCAGCGCCAAGACAAGAAAGAGTTGCAATCAGAAGCAGGTTCTGGCCATGGATATGAAACGGACCTAAATCATTTGGGTCGAGAGCCTCTTGCTCCCACTGTGTGCTGCCTACCCAACGATAACTTAAGAGATGTGTCAATAGGACCCCAGAGTGTGCTCAGTTTTCCTGCCAGCTCCCTCTGGGAAGGCTGGCAAACCACACAGCTCTGGCTGCTTAGGCCAAAGTAAAAGCTAGACTGGATGGAGAGAGCTGAAAAGAAAAGACAAGGATGAGGAGCAAAGAGATTTCAGATCCTGCTTTGTGTAAACCCACTCTCTCTGCAAGCGTAATGCGAATGACACACAAAGAGGCATGGCTGCACAAACTGTATTTTGGACAAATGTTTTGTTGCCTCTCTGGTAATATAAAGACTGCTTCTCTTCAGTCTTCTCAATATCATGTAATGGTGGAGACATGCTGGCTCATATACAACCTGTTTGCAGCATTAAAAAACTATATAACATAATATGAACATGATGAAAAAGACTTCCCTTTTCCCTCATACATTGCAAAATAACACAGATTTACCACTAAAACCTGCAGCATAAAGTACACATGTAGAACTACAGTACAGTTCTGCAATAAGGGCTGTAAATAAACAAATGTTTATATTCTGCAAAGGTTAGGCATGGTAATGCCTTTTTCTTTGTATTTTCTTTTTTATACAGTTTGAATATACAGTTTTGAAAATGCATATTTTTCTGAAAACACATTCCCATCACTATCGTCTACACTGGAAAAAATAAAAATCTAGATAAAGCATTTTTTCTTAAAATAAGTGCATTTGTTCTTGGATTGAGCAGGTAAAAGAGACATTTTGCCAATGAAACAAGACAATTTACACTTAAAATAAGAAAACACAATTGCATTGTCTTATTTCAAGTGCCTATTATCTAATTATCTTATTTTAAGAGTAAACATACTCACTCCATTGGCAAATTATCTCATTTACCTACTCAAATTAAGGGTAAATACACTTAATTTAAGAAATTTTTACTTATTTCTAGATTGTTTTTCCAGTGTAGGATTCAGTCAGTATTTGATTTTATTAAGGTCTGTTATTCAAAGCAGGAAATGGTTCATCCTAAATTAATGTGTTAAAGATTTTTTATTAACAAGATAAACTAATGAGTTCTGTATTGCCACACATGGAAACAGCTGTGTCCACTGGAGGAGAATACAAGACTAGAAAAGCTCAAAAGGGATGGGGGTAACTATGGATGGTTAATCTTACTGATTTTTGTCTTTTTTTTTTTTTAGGTCCTGAAGTTTTACTGGAAAGCCAGAGTAAGGAAGGAAAGTTTTGTTGCTAACTTCATATGCTGTTTGATGGTGTCATGACTGATGGATACACAAGGGTCGACTAATTTCAAACTAATTCAGTTTATTCATATAGTGCCAATTCACAACACTTCATCTGAAGGCACTTTACAGGGACAATTCAACCAGATCATAAAGACAGATTGGTTCAAAGTTTTCTATCTAAGGAAAACCAGTTGATTGCATTGACTCATTGACTCAAATGCAATCCCTCACACTAAGCATGCTTGTAGCGACAGTGGAGAGGAAAAACTACCTTTTAACAGGAAGAAACCTCCAGCAGAACCAGGCTCAGTGTGAGCTTTCATCTGCTGAGGCCGACTGGGGTTCAAGGAGACAGAAGCAGAGATACAAAAAGCAACTGTAAACCAGCTCCACAGGCGGGCTACTATGAGAAAAAGCAGAGAGAGCAACCGCATCCATCATCTCTGACACCCTCTGGATGTATTTGTGTGTGAGCTGCAGCACAGCCAATGAAATTAACCTGAATTGAGAAAAAAACAAACAAAAAAACAACAAAACACCAACATGTTCCGAGAAGTAATTTCTGTCAGTTGCTTAAACCTTATAATATTCAACAAAAATTAAGTGCAAAATTAAAAACGTGAAACGACAGAATCAAAGAAGACCAAACAACTCCTAATTTTGTCTGACATTTGAAATCGCATAAAAAGGTAGATGGTATCTTCATTTTTGTTACAATGAGATAGCCGACTTTAGCCATCCATGTCTTACTAACACATGTTCAGATGCACTGGTTTTATAATATGTTGAGATAAATACAGATTTAAGTAGAACACTTAGTGAATTATTTTAAAAAGAATCAAAAGGACTTGAAAAATGAGGTTATTGACTTGAGATTTGACGCAGCTTGACTGTCTTTTCTTCAGACTTGACTCTGGACTAGAGGAACAAGATTTCAGATATTACAAAACAATGACTTGCTCCCACTCCTGTTATTTAAACTGACCACAGAATTAAAGCTGTTTAACGCAGTAGGCTGTTCACATTCAAACATTATCGATGAGCATTGGTGTGCCTTCCTTCTTTTTCAGCAGCTTCTTCAGACGGCTGTATAAGGACCTTCAGTAAGTAAATAAGTTCAGCCTCTCCTCTCTCACATTTATCCAGCTGAGTTGGAGGCTCTAAGGGAATTAAGGGGGTAACCTAATGGTGTGATTTTTAAGACGATATAGAAGAAAAGGGAGGAACGAAGATAACTTTTAAAAAAAGTCAGGGCAGAATCCATCTTTTATATTTGTAGGATTTTTAAGCTCCTGCATGACTGTGGCAGTGTCACAAAACCATCAAAAACGCTTAATTTTTAGGCGGGTAAAACAAATACTTCCAGAATGTCACTTAACAATATAATATCTTCTGTGATACCAACTAAGACTCAAAGCCCCTTATTGGAACAGAGCATAAATTTCCTTCTCATGGTGATCAATAAGAAGGGAAGACTTCATAAATGCTGCCATATTTTCACAGTCAATACTATAGCAAATAGCAATTTTGGACGCGTTATGAGCAATTTCATGGGTGAGTTCTCCTTGCCTTTTGGCAATTTGGTTTCTATGACGGATTTGGCAGCGGCAGTCGTGTGACACATCTGCCTTATTGCCTGTGTTTGTCTCGGCCATTGACTCTGACATATTTCCATTTAATGGTGAGACCAGAACATAGATTTGTAAAGAGATCTGTTAGAGCTTGTCTGTCTGACCTGTAAACATGAATATGCTTAAAACATGGATGGTATCTGTATGCACCTTACTGGACTATGTTATACTCTATATGTTATCATTATGTGCATAGAGATTAATTTATCTGATTGGGTTTGTCCTCTAGCCTGTACAGCTTAAATTATGCCTTATGTTTAATGTCTGAAATTTCGTTTTGTGTACACTCTGTGTATACAAAATGACAATAAAATTTGCCTAACTCTAAGTGACAGCTGATCAGTTAGGAATACCACATTTCTGGTTGATAAAGGTTAATTATTTTATTCTAATGCAGAAGTTAGTTAGAAGTCACTTAGTTGTGATGCAAAAGGAAATTTGAACTTTTACATTTAAACTCTGAAAATAACATTTACACAAATTCCTTCAATCAGTTCAAGGCTATTGAATTAAGTTTATCCAACTTGAATTATTTAAATTTTCAACTTATAAAATTCATAAATTTAGTTTGATCAACTTGATTCAATTACTTAACTGTTGAAGCAATTAATTTAAGTTGGAGTTGCACTTTCCTTTAAGATAGTACCATTTATAAACAAAAACACCTGAAATGTTTTCCATGCTGTTTTTCCATTTAGCATAAATTAATTCTTATAAATAAAGGTGTATTTTGAATGCCTGAGAGGTGTTTTTAAGAATAAAAACAGCATGGGAAAGAGGAAAGGAAAGAGAAAGTTGTGCAGAGGTATAAAGGAGGGTAAGTTTATGGAACAGTTTCTTAAGATCTGAACAACTTTCTTCTTTCTGATCACAAAGCTTTCATTTTACAAAATAATAATGCAAAATACACAACCAGAGGACAGTTTTAAATCAAAACGTATCCACAGGTTATCATGGCCTAGTCAAAGTAAAACCCAAAATGTATTGACTCCGACTTCAAAGTGTGAATGAAGAAGCTCTCCATCCAACCTGACTGAGTTTAAGATTTTTTTTTTAGTAAATAACCATTAGGCAAACTTCAGTCTCCAAATGTTTAAACATTCCTTGAAACACTTGCAGCTGTTAGTGAGCAAATAGTTCAAGAAGATATTGCTACTGGTGACAAATCATATAGGGACATTTTTTAAAAGGTATCTTTAAAGTCACAGAATGGGTATTAAAATACTTCTCCAAAAAAGGTAAAATCAACCCACTGGACTTTTTTTCCAAGTTTGAAGACATTTCGCTTCTCAACCAGGAAGATTTTTCAATTCAGAAGTCAGAAGATGAGATCCATCCATCGATCCATCGATCCATCGATCCATCCATCCATCCATCCATCCATCCATCCATCCATCCATCCATCCATCCATCCATCCATCCATCCACCCACCCACTTGGGCAAGCTCCTCCAGGGGAATTCCAGGGCACTCCCAGGCCAGCCGAGAAACATAGTGTCCCTCCAGCGTGTCCTGGGTCCTTGAATTGAAAAAGCTTCCTGGATGGGAAGCGAAACATCTTCAAACTTGGGAAAAAAAGTCCAGTGGATTGTTTTTATTTTTTAAAAACTTTTTTGGAATGAAATGACCTGAATGACTGAGAATCTTCACCAACATATTAAAATACTCTTAATAGGATTAAATCTGAGGCCACTCTGCAGGCAAAAGTTATTTTTACATTTTTTTAACCAAGCAAAAATTCAGCAAATGGTTTTCTCTTCTAAGTTGACTATCATTTTTGAAACTAGAGATTAAAAACTTTAGGTCAGGGCTCATATAGTATCAGAAAACTGATCACAGACAGAGTAGTTTTACTCTAATTGCTGCTTTGCATCAACCAAAGGCGTTGGAGTCGTTCAGTGCGCCGTCCTATCACAGCTCTCCCCTGTTTGGGACCAATAAACCAGGCAAACCAACCGCAGCTGCTGGATCCCCTCTGAATTCAGGAGGAAAGGTGTTCCAGGCTGTGATAATTCACCCAGGGAGCCTTGGCACATTTGTTTTTTTCTGCATAAACTTGGAAAACATAGAAGGGATGCCAACATATTCCGAGTGTTGATTCCTGCATTGTTTTGAAGGCAGTTCTGGGGGGATGGATGCGAGCAGAGGCGCACCGAGGCAGCGCTGACACAGACCCGGCTCAGCTGTGGAAAACCCAGGAGGACAAACCGACGACTGCTTTTAAAACATTAACAGGCCACAGATCAGCGGCTGCTCCTTATTCTGCACGTGTTCGGATTTCATATGAGGATCTGGAAGAAAAAGCACGTTTCCAATCTACTCTCTTGCTTTGCAATGAGAGAGAAAACAGCAGCGCTTTGATTTCTTAATTCCCTTCTCTCCATCTCGCCCTGGTTTGTTTCCTGCTCTTCCAGCTGTGATTATCTCCTGCTTTCATGTTCTGGCTTTGCTGTTGTCGATCACTGTGGGATCAACTCGTTTAGATTTCAAAAGTGTGCAAAAGAGAGGACAGCGCTGGCACCCATCCATGCGCGCTGCGCGCCGTGTTTTTATGATTAATATGCAACTGTGACTTTAAACGGAGGCAGAAAATATCGCATGCTTCTTACATCTGCTCGCTGCACACTGGAAGGAATCATTTCTTTGATGCAAATTTCTGCAAACGCTCTGATTTTGAACCTTTTTTTTAACCGGCTGTCAGTGACGCAACCTCTCACATAGACTGCACGAGAAATCCACGCGTGGAAGGGCGTGAACTTGGCAACATCCTCCTCATAAATAAAGCATCTTCTTATTCATAATCCCAACTCGCGCAGTTTGCAGCCATCTAAAGTCATCCTGCTGGGAAGATGGATCTGAAAGCGGACTCGGAGGACATGGACTACAAGCAGCCGGCTCCCATTGAAGTTTTTGCCACCAGGTCCACGCTGCACGGCATCTCGCACATGTTCACTTATGAACGAAAGTACGTGAAGCGCAGCCTGTGGATCGTGTTCTTCATGGCCTCTTTGGGGGTGTTGGTGATGGTCTGCGTGGACAGGGTGCAGTTTTACTTCGCTTATCCCCACGTCACCAAGCTGGACGAGGTGGCCGCGTCCATGATCGTGTTCCCTGCGGTCACCTTCTGCAACCTCAACTCCTTCCGCTTCAGCCAGGTGACTCCTAACGACCTGTACCACGCGGGGGACTTCCTCGCCCTGCTCAATGGAAGGTGTGTAAGTTTAATTGAAGCTAAGTCTCTGATGGTTTTGACCATAAACACCTTTGACATCCTGTTTCAATCATTAAAACCAAAATATCAAAGTGTAATAAAGGGTTTCTGTGGAGTAAAGTTTTAAACTCATGTTTTAATAGGAATAAACTCATGCACTCCTTCTGAGATACTATAAAAGTTGGGTAATTGAAACAATTTCAAGTGTAGCTCAATAAATAAGTCTGTCACTGAAAAGTGGATTTTCTTCAGTTGCTTAATAAGATTTAACACTATTATTATGTATGAGTAACAGCCATTAAAATTTAAAGTTTCTCGGAAAAGAAAAATTGTCCTGGGCTGTCACAAAAAAGTCAGTTGGCTCTGACACTTTACATATTGAGGGTGAACAAACAATTACTATTGCCTAAAAAAGCTGGATATGCAGAGTATCCAAACATGTTAATGGAAAGTTGAGTGGAAGGAAAATGTACACCAAAGTTGGTTAAAGTCGTAGGGAAGCGGCTGTTCAAAAAGTTGCATTTCTGAATTCTCCCGAGTGGTGCACGACTTAACACTAGTGAATAAAGTGAATGTGATTGGTCGTTTATCAAAAGGGTGGGATTGTTGTGGTGGAAGGTTCGCAAGCAAGTTTGGTTGTGGCCGGTTCCTCGAAAGCATCTTGGTAACCAGTTAGCAACTTAGTGCTAGTAGTAGCACTAAACTGGTGACTTAGAAATTACACTGTCAAGGAACGCTATGGACAGCGGAAACATGCAAGAGAAGGAGGGTTTAGTGTCGGAGGTCGTGGATGAGTCTCCTCCGTCATCCATGTTTTATTTAGATGAGGAAAGCGGGGACGAAGATGCTGTGGAAGAGGACGCCAGGGCGGCAGAAGCTTGGTTTGGTGTAGAAGGCTTCCAGCCGTACATGTTTGAGCCCTTGCCTTGCAACGCTGCCAGTTCTGTTAGCTCTACGCCTGCTGAAGACACAGACGCTGTGACGAATGAATCAAGAAGCTATGACCGAAAAAATGTGATTGACTGATGAACGTTGATTTATGATTGGCCAAATTTAGGTGTACGGGCTGACATAGAACTACCTGGCCTGCATAAGATAATGAAAAAAAAAACAGGATTTTTTTAAAAATAGAAATTTTCTAACTTTTGAGACAATATGGTGTGATAAAGAGTACATTTATATACCGTACATGTTTAATCCAGAATGATTTGACATTTAACACTGCTTAAAACTTTAAACAGTGCTTGTATGAGTAATTGCTACAGACTCATGTCACATGCTTACTAGAAGGAGAAATAACTGTAAAGTGGATGATTTGATCGTCTAATGGTTTGTTTTATAGGTAACTGAACTTATTAGGTCGCTCCTGTACCAGAGACAATCCAAAAAGTCAAACCTGGGTGAAGGAGACAAAGAATTGGACTGTTTCTAGGTGGCATCAGTCCCCTTTGAAGATGAAAGCAAACTTAGGATTTTGTTCAAAAATGAAGATCAAAGAGGTTGGAGGAAGATTGAAGAGGTGCAGAATCTAAGTCGCTTGAGATCATTTAAGTTTCTTTGCTTGTTGATGATTTAGAGGAATCCTGTCATCTGCTATTTTTGGACCATAATTTTTTAGTAAGTCTAAAGTCAGCTGATTCTGATTTTATATTTTAGTGGGACATGGCACACAATAGCATTACCATATGTATTAATACCGGCTTTGATGACATAAGTGGCCAGTGGACCGTCCGTCCAAAAACTAATTGTTTACAGGCATTTATTCATTTAGGGTCACAAAGGGGGCAGGTGGCCAACCCTGGGGGGCCGGTGAGAAAGACCCTGAACTGGTCACTAGTCCAATGCAGTCAGGCCAGCAGGCTAGACTGACCTTAACCCCAATGCAAATATGTGGGTGTTTTTATAGAGGAAGATGAGGGGCTGAGGAAGAGTTGAAGCCATATGAAGGCCTCCTCATCATCTTAGCAGAGCAACAGGCATATTGCCTCCATGCCACACTGCACTACTGCGTATAAGCTAATATTGCTATTATAGCATAAATATGCTATTATAAGCTAATAATAGCAATATAATTGCAAGTCACTGAAAATAATTTAACTGCAAAGGCAGTTAGAAACTTTGGTCAATTTAGATTTAACAACAGTTTGACACTGAGCTTTCTCACTCCAGCCCTTTAGGCTTAAAGTTGGTTTAACACCACAACTGCCATCCCTGACCATCCCTGGACCGTAAGTGAAATGTTATTTTTGGGCCCCCTGCAACTCGTGCCACAAAGTTCTTTTTTAACAACAAACTCACAATCAAGGGAAGCAGAAGTTTCCCTGTGTTTTACGTCTATTGCTTGCACCGAATTCCTGATGCCGCATGGATGACGTGTTGATGTGTCATTGCTCTGCATGAGAGAGCCTGTCTAAATTTGCACCCACCATGATTGGTCAGATGTCGAGAGCTGGTCATCAGTGAGAGGTCAGATTAAAGGTGGTCTCTTTTCTCGCCTCCCCCTTACGGTGTAGAGCTTATGCACAACAGTGCGTATTCATTGCAAATATGTGCTATCACATCCTAAAAGTGGCCCCGTTGCGGCCCCACGCAGAGTGCATTTTCTGCATTTAGGTAGGGATGCAACACAGAAGGAAAGAGAGTTGCAGCTAGAACACAGATTCATGCACTATAGGGCAGAAGTAACAACTTTTCTACACACCAGTAACAGTAGAATCCTGCCACAATGGACTATGAGAGGAAAAGCTTTCAGGGTTATGAAAACAATAGTGACACATTATAAAAAAGTATCTACATATGTTCACAATCACAATATTGGTTAAATATATTTACATTTTTAACTAAATATTCCTGGATAGATGTTGAAATGTCTTCAGAAAAAAACGGAGGGACATTGGTTGCTTTCCAATTTAAGCCTGTTGTGTTTGATTTTTCAGCGCTACACAGGACTGAGTGCACATACTGCAGTATGATATAATATACTAGGCTGGCCAGGCAGATTGATACGCTGTGTATATGTTGTATCAGTGGCGGGGCTCTCAGGTGACTGACCCAAAAACTCAGTTTTTGTAACTTGCTCTGTTTTTCTCATTTTGTTTTCCATGAAACATGTGAAGCTAAGAATAGCAAATACATAATAATAAAAAAAGGAATGTCAATAATGCTGCTGTCGTTGAGGTTTTAAAGTTAGATCAATCATACTTAGGCACTTAGACATCTGAACCACTAACCTGCAAAATCTGTGCCCAAGAAAGCTAGGGGAGTGGTGGCCTAGTGGTCAGGGCATAGAGCTTGGGATCCTGAGGTTCTGAGTTCAAGCCCAGTCCCCACAGAATGCCACTCTGGGTCCCAGAGCAAGACCCTTAACCCCACACAAAAAGCCCCACAGGCTTTCGTTGCTCTGTACTGGTGAAAGTGTAATGACAAAAAAAACTTAAAGGGCATAATTTAAACGCCACTGCGTTGTGGTCGCCATCTTGCTGTTATGCTAACAGAAACACAGGACGCATCGTGAAGTCCTGCCTTCCGCGCTTTGGTTGATCCGGCCAGATCTGATTTACCAGACTGAATTACACCGACTGTAATTCAGTTTGGTTTTGCCAGGCTAATGATATACAGTAAATGTAGATATTTTACATGATACTGAACTTTTCCATGATTTTTTGATCCACTGAGATCCATAAAACTGTTGAATTTAGTCAGAAAACTGGACATTTCTTTACTTTGGTGAGAAGATCCCCAAAGCTTCTTGGAAAAAAAATCATAAAATATTTCAGTTTAGTATTTCACTAAAGTCCTGCAAAACATCCCTTTAGAGTCAAACCCTGACAACAGTATAGAGATTCAACCCAAATAGGTTACGATTTCTGAATTGTCTTGGGTGATGCCTTGTCTGCCAAACAAGTTCAAAGCTCTGTGAATATTGGTCTGTTTTCACTGTCACTATAGGAGCAATGGGAACACTGCAAAACAACATGGACAAAGCATGCAAAGCCTTTTAAAGCTCCGGACTCCACTGGCCTTCTGACGCAGCTAAGGAAGATGGAGGGTCATGCATGAAAGGCGGCCACTGAAAGCAGAGTGAAAGCAAATTAAAGCATTAGCATTAGAGTTAATAATGAAGAGAATTATGATTCCTGTTATATGAAGCTCTCATTTTTCATTCATCCTGTTATCTAATGTCTTTGAAATAAAATATGCTTCTAATATCATGGTTTGATAAAGAAAAAGTAGAACATAGAATTCTCTCAGATACCTGATCCTAGCTGTTTCTAAGTTCACATTTGAGAACATTTCCGCTGATCTAATTTTATTTTGCCATAATGTTGCATAAATATCCATACATGCATTTTAAAGTCTCCTGCTCTTTGTGACAGTGTAGAGATGTGTGTTCTTCAGTTGACACCCTCTCCCTCCAAACCTGTTGCTCCCTACCGTGCTTTGATCATATAGTTTTTTAGCAGCCTGTATAAATTCACTGCATCATGTTCAAAGTGTTTTGTTTTTGAGTGCCACCCTTCTTATTCGGATCACAGTCCCTTGAAGGATGCAGATGAAAACCCTCACTTTGTTTTGCAGCAAACAAAACTCACACATTGGAAAATAGTACTTCACTAAATCACAAATAAAATACATACTAAAACCGGAGTTCTAATCCCACCTTGAACACACCACTCTTTTTTTATTTTTAGCATATTGATCCACACAGCTCTGCAGCCTAAGGTACAGGGTACATCTTGTGCATGCTGTACATGCTCAGCTAACATGGATCCAATTCCCCATTCTCAGTCTGACCATTGTTTGTCTATGATCCACATGCATGCATGCATATCAGAGGTGACATCCCTACTGGGAAGTAATTTCCTTTATCGAAGCTGTAGCACAAATGCTTCAGGCTCTTTGTAATATACGCATCAGTGAGTGTGCTTACTTTACATACGTGGATATTCTTCTCCGCTAGTTCTGGTAGCCCTAATTAAATATCAGGGTGTTATAGCTGTTATGTAGAAGTATAGAAGAAGAGGGAAGATGTGAAAGAATTCATAAAAATAAAAACAGCAAAAGCAAAGAACTACTGTAAAGGCACAAGACAAAGGGAAAAGGAAACTAAACATAGCTGCATTTGCTCCAAGTGACTTTGATGAGCTGACTTTAGATGGAGGGAGGGGACTACAAGCTGAGGCAATTAACTTGTGTCTCATAAGCTGTGTGATGAACATGCCTTTATCCCTGTGTAATTAGTGCTGTTTGTTAAGCTACAGAGTTGTCCCTCTGATTAACACTCTCACATCTCCCATTGTTTCTTGCCCTCTCTGTTCTTTCGGCTTTGAGGCGACTTCCATTTTTATTTCTTGCTCTGAGAAAAGTAAGGTTTAAGACATTTATTCTGAAAGAAGACACCTTTTTGGGTAGTTTTTCTCTTAAGTTTGTCTGAAGTGTGGTAGAAGCCATGTTGAAAAAACAGCTTGTTATTAATCATGGCACAACAAAAAAATAAAAAAAGCAGAACTAACTGAAATGACAAAACAGACCTTTCAAAAATGTTTAGAAAGGCTCTAGGTCATTTTGGCCCTTCACAATTTGGCCCCCATTTTATACCAATGCATTTATTGTTACCTCATACTATATACTAACTGCAGAATTAGATAACAGTTTATTTTTTGCCTGTAGTCTAGTAATGTTTGTGAATTATGAAGAGTAATTTCCGTAAAAAATATTGAATATGATTTTCAATTGTGTTTTTAGTTTATTTATATAACACTAATTCACAGCACATGTCATCTCAAGGCATCTTGCAGAGTATATTTATCCAAATCATAAAGTCAGATTGGTTAAACGTTTTTTAAATACCTGAAAGAGGATTCTGTTGTGGTATGGAAGCAAATCGTCACCATATTTAAAATGAAAAAGCATTTTCAGAAATGCTTTTTCATTTTAAGAATGTGGCTGCATTATTTGACTCATAAATAAAAATTAGTAATCAATCATCCTATTTGCATTTTCATTTTCTTCTTCAACACTGCTCATTCTTTTACTTAATTAAAATTAAAAAGAAAAAGACATTTGAGATTTATT